CCTCGCAGTGTGTCGAGTTCTGAGTTAGCTCATCCCTCGGATGTCTGGATCATGGCCAATGCACGTGATCGGATTCCTCTCAATTTCTCCTCACTCATGTTTGCTCACATGATTAAGTTTGGAGATGAGAACTACTCTGGTCCACTTCCCTTTGGTCCTCAGATTACTCGCTTCCTCTACAATCTTGGCATTGATCTTTCTGACAAGATCGTTGTTTGTGATATCCGTGAGGATTTGCGTGCACAGCATGTTCTAGTTCGTGTCGATGCTTCTGTTGGCAGGAGAAAGCCTGTCATTCGCTCAAGGGGAGAGCATACTGCTGTCTCTGCCAATCAGCTGGTCTATGCACTACTAGATGCTGCATCAGTAGCCTTGGATCAGAAAATTCTATCCTTCAAAAGTGAGGAGCTCCTGAGTCTAGAATACTGCAAGGCACAAATTGAATTAGCTAAGAAAGCTGAACCAAGCAGCTCACATGATGAAGATGGAGTGTCCGATTATGAGTCCCCTCCAGAGTATGAGTTTTAGATGGGGCAATTGGTTTAGGGGGAGTCCATTGCTGTAGTCTGGTTCTAGTGTTAGCTTTTCCTTTTACTGTGGTTCTGTGTCCTCGAGTCGAATAAGGGTTGACTGCTAATCCATGTCTGAGTCATGTGTCTGGTGTGTTTTCGTTTGAAATATCAATAAAATGGACTTAGTTTTCTTTGCACCTTGATTAGTTGAAATATCTTGGAACAGGTTGCACCAACTGTTTGTTGAGATGTGCAGATTATGTGGAAACAGCAGAAGCAGGAGCGAATGACATGCTTAGGGGGAGAATGTTAGGAGAAGCAGACCGATGTTAGCATTCAGTGAGGATGAGCAGCATAAAAGGAAAGGAATTACGGGCTCAAATCAGAGGAATTCAAAGGAATGCAAAATTGGAAAGAACAGCAAACTTACCAAAGGAAGTGGAACAAACTTGGTAAGAAGAGATTATTCTTCAACGGCTCAAATGGAAGAGTGATATATATACAAGTAGCCGAAGAGAGTCATGTAGCAATTTTTCCCTTCTGATTTGTGAGAACAAAAGAGAGTGCTTGTGAAGCTAGAGTCTTTTGGGAAGAGTGATCGTAGAGCTAGTTGAGGAGATTAGCTGGGAAAAATCGAAGTGTTTGATCAGGAGGGTTAAACACTGAGGGTGTAGCTTGGTAGATTTGCAGGGAGCAAATTAGGAGTTCACCAAGTTCTGTAAAACACAAAAACACTGAAATAGTGCTTACGTAGAAGATCTCAAGAAGAGAGTCTTCTACCGTGGATTAGTCGATATTGGGATCCTCATTCTCCCAATATCGGATACCACGTAAAAATCTGGTTTGTGTGTGTGAGTGAGTTTGACTTTGCTGTTGGTATTGTTCTTGTTGTCTTACTCTGTTTTGCAGAAACAGAGTTCAGGGAAGAAGGCTCGGCTTCTTTAGGAAGAAGAAGATACAGTGAAGTGGGCTTAAACAGCAGGCCCATTCCACTTCAACTTTAGTTACATCGTATAGGGCTCAAGCCCGCTCAGGGTCGTTTTATTAAACAGTATTTTATATCTGAACCAAACCATTTTCCATTTGTTAAAATTAACAATTCCATTACTCGATTCTCTCACTTGGTCTTAGATTGGGAAATTAGGGTTTCTTCACAGGAGTGATCATCGGAGAAAAGTCCGACCGTCTTCACAGGAGTATTCAATATTTTCTGTCTTTAGAAGTCAATGGTCAGTACGTAGTGTTGGTCAAGAAATACAATAACTATTCATTAATATAAATAAAAAATAATTTATTCCATGTAAAGATGGGGTGCAAGCCATTCGGGTGTCCTGCAACCCACCCATCAGCCAACCAATAAGTGGAATAGGAGATCTATTGATTCGTAATCCATCCACATCAATCACCCATCAACTGTTTGGTTATTTATGGGTGGACTGATGTTAAACCGCGAATTACCCACTCAACACAAAATGATCAGCTCTAACAAGGAAAGAGCGAAGCGACACATGACTCATGATGCCACCTGCTACAAATGCTCTACCCAAATTGAGACGCTCCCCCATCTTTTCAGAGACTGCGTGTCGGCATCTTTTCTCTGGAACTGCACGACCCTGACGGAAAACGCAGCAGGAGTTCTTTAGTCGACCTTGGGACAGCTGGCTGGAATCCAATTTGACTTGTGGCGAGCTCTCACCTTTCGGCCTCCCCTGGAACGTGTTATTCAGCATTGCTTTGTAGTGCATCTGGAAAATAGAAATGAAGGAGCGTTCTATGGTGTGGGTAAGACTCTCTTCGCCCCTTCCCTGTCCTAGTCGGTGAAATCAAGGTTGAGCTATGGTATAGGGCTTGGAATGCACCGAGTCCACTAATAGGACGTGCGAATCTTGCTCCTCATCGCACCCTTTCTTCAGGTCGGATGGAAGCCACCCTGGTAGGTTGGCGGAAGCTAAATGTTGATGGTGCGGCGAATGTTAGCCAAGGTATAACAGTTGCATGCGGAGCCTTGCATGATGTAGGGCTGCAAATGAGCTGAGTCGAGTCGAGTTTTACCTCAGTTTGAACAGGGCTAGTTAATAAACGGGTTGAGCTTGAGCTCGGACAATTATTAACGAGCCGAGTCGAGACGAGTTCGAGCTAGTTTGATTACTAAAATCTTGACTCGTATTTGATATATTCATTTTGTATGTCATGTATGATACATGTGATTAATGTCAAGATGATGATGATAATAATAATAATAATAATAATAATAATAATAGTTAAGTGTTCAATAATAACTATTATCATGTTATACTTTGTGGTATCATATTATTTAGTTAATAGATTTTAACTAGTCAAAATTATGTTATATCATAGTATCGAAGCAATCTATGATGCATAATTTCTTTTTAAAATTTAATAAGACATATTTGCTGGCATAATCTATGTGTCAAACTTCATATAGGGTGAGATATAATTTAACAATCATATGAATTATCAAAATCAAACTCATATAGATCGATACGCTCATAAGTTGGTAATCGAGTTGACTATCTAGCCATAATGTTGAGAGTTGAGACATCTCATGAGCTCTAAACGAGCCAACTCACGAGTTAAGCTCAGCAAGCCACCGAGTCGAGTTAGCTCCCGAGCTCCACGAGCTGCACAAGGCTTAGCTCAAACTTGGCTTGTTCAACCACCATGTCAGAGTTATGGGCTATCTATCATGGATTGAATATGGCGTGGAAGCTCAGATGTAGAACCCTCATAGTGGAAACTGACTCTCAGTTGGCAATTCAGCTTGTGAACAACAAGACGGATCCTCTTCATCCCTATGCGACCCTTTTAACAGCTATCAGGCGAAAGATTGCTCAAGATTGGCTTGTGAACCTAGTTCATGTATACCGGGAAGAGAATATAGTCGCAGACTGACTCTCGAATCATAGTCTCGTCTATCCCTACGATATGCATGAATTCGATACACCTCCTAATGAGCTTCTCCCGCTTCTCTAAAATGATCTCAGAGGCATCACCTTTGCTAGAAATACAGTCTCTTCTTCCCCTGTCACCCACTCTTAACACCCCCCCCCCCGCCTCTTTTTGTTTCTTTGGGCTTGTGCCTCCTCTTTATGCAAAAAAAAAAAACTACAATTCGTTTAATCATTCGTTGATAAAGTAGTTTTGAGAGTACATTATATAACATATAAAAAAATGATTAATTAATAAGGTACCAAAAGAGTCTCTATTCGGTTTGATCATCTGAAACACACACATGTATCTAAAAACTCAGCCTAGTTATTCTACTAACTGCATAAGTTGTTAGTATATACTAACTAATATCCAAAATGTATGAACAGGTATCCAAGTCTGCTGATTTTACTAAAGTATCTAGATAGCACAGACTAGTATTCAAAACATCACAAACTAGTATCCAGATAGCAGATACCGACTAATATCCACAATCAACCAACTAGTATTCAATATGGATACTCTTATGTGTTATCTGGATACTTTTATGTGTTATCTGGATACTAATTATGTGTTGTATGGATACTATTCTGTGTTGTCTAGATATTAGTTTGTGAATTTGGGATAATAGTTGATTCATGGTGGATATCAGTTAGCAAACCTTGAATACTAGTCTGTGATCTGTAGATACTTTAGTACTTGGATACTAGTTCATGTACTTTGGATATCAGTTAGTATCTGCTAACGAATCTTCAAGTTTGCATATTAACTTTCCCCCTAAGAACTTAGAATCATTTGGATGAATTAATTATCAATGGTATTTGTAGAGTCAAATAACTCATTTATGGTTCATGTTGTATTTCGATGTTATTTTAATTGTAATTGAATTAAAGTATATCGTTTGGTTGAACCAAACACATGTGGTATTTGACACGTGGTATTTAGAACAGACAGAGAGGCGAAACGAGTTATTTAGAAATAATTATGGAGTAAAAGTTATTTCAAATAACTTATTTTGGATTATTTGTAAGTAACTCACAAATCAAATAATTCACTTGAGTAAAATGCGGTCAAACAAGCTATTTGAATCCAAATAACTCATTCAAATAAATAATCCAAAAACTACCCTTACTTATGCCAACTTCGATAAAAATAGTTATGGATCTGAACTTATAAGTCCCACAAATTTCCACGAAAACATAATCTGATTCAACAATATACTTTTCATATCCATCCATTTGGTACATGCATCATAGTGTAAACAATCCATCAATCTCAATAATTCACTATCGACCTCTTGATGCAGACAGCATTTACAAATGGAAGCAGACCTCCTGCAATGGCGCTAAACTCCCTTTCTTTCTTTCTTTCCCCTGCACACCTCCATAATGCAGACAGCATTCGACAAAGAAATTCATCAGATCATCCAATTCTGGCCCCAAATCTCTTCCCCTGTTTACAACCTCCAATTCACCAACGTCGCAGTTCTATAAACATACGAGTCGGCGGGCACAATCCGCACACTCTACCAAACTGATCTCAACTGGCGAGCTTGAAAGCATCGATGAAGAGCCCGTAGGTGAAACCCATCTTGAAATTGTTGAGCAGAGCGAGCGGGAAAGTTACCTTGGGCCGACTGTAGTAGAACCGCGTCACGTACTCCGTCAGCACCACGCACACCACCGCCGCTATGACGTCGTTCACTCCCAGCGCCCCGAACGACAGCGAGATCGTCTGCGCCACGTAGAACCCTCCCAGCAGCGATATCCCTCCGAATAGGGCCCGGCGGGATGGGCTCCGGAAGTAGCCCCGGGTCAGGTCCGGGACCAGCCTTATGATGTCGACAAGCCTCCGCGGCGGGCCTCCTCCTCCGCCGCCGACGTCTTGCACGGCTCGAATTCGGAGGGTTCTCGATTGGGATCTGGAAATAGAGGAGGTCCGGGATTTGGGCGAGGCGAATTGCGCCGGATGAATCGAGGTTAATCGAAGGGGAATCGGCGAAATTAGGATGGTCGCTTGCTGCGCCATTTTGTATTGAAGGGGGATTGGGGAGCTGACTTCTGCCTGCCGCGGCGGCGGATTGAGAGGGGGTGTGAAATCTGGGCCTGAATATTGGTGGCTGAATGAAAAGAGGGGTGGCCGGGCGAAAGGGAAAGACCGAAAGAGGGTTCCATCCTCCGATATTTGGGTGAATTGTATGTTTGGTCATTCAAATTTATTAATATGTTTTTATGTTTGTCACTTAAGTAATTTATTTTTAATTCATCATTAATTCTTATATTTTATTTTAAGCATAAATTCATCTAGATGGAAAAAAAAAGGAGGAGCTCTCTCTTCTCTCATCGAAGTGTGTTGGGTGGGTGCTCTCCTGCCTTTTTTCGATCGATGTCGATCGGCCGACCAACTCCTCTTCCACTTCTTCGAGAAGGTGCTCGTCGTTACCCTAGCAAACTAGGGGTCAAAGGAAATTCGGTGGACTATTTTCCCCCAGGCCGACGGCGTTGACCGACGTGGTTCGTTCTCACTGTCCAAAGACAAGGACACGAAACAACACGGTGACCGGAAAAGAGACCATAGGCAGACTTTGTGTCGCTGTCGTTGTCCCAAATATGGGATCCATAAACGCAAAATCAAGAACTCCTTTGTGATTGGACTCGATCTTGATTGTCCTCAGCGTAAACGCTTGAGACGTTTGAAACACCAGACATGGCGATTCCATCTGCCATCGTCCAATGAATTAGAAAGTGAGGAACGAGTTGTTCCTGCTCCTCTGTCCTTCCCGGCGAAGAATCCCAATAGGGATGAAAATATCCTAGGCTCCTCGCACAAGCCAGACCTTAGATCCCGAATTGGGGCAAGTTCTTTCTACCAGCTTAGCGAGGAAAAGATACACGGGAATCTTACCCTGCTCCGGCCGTCAACATTTTGCCGCCCGCTGCCGATGATGACATTTCTGCATGCGCGTGATCCTGCAGGCAAAATGAATCTCTGTGGGATTACCCATTCCCGAGATTTTCGCACCGGCCTCAATGATTTTCCACCTCAATCCACCCCTCAACGGTTGGGGAAATCAGATAATTCCTTTTTCAAATCTCCCAGACTCCCAATCCAAATAGAACATCAATTGTCGTTGGGTTTTCCTGGCTCTGCCTCCCCTTTAAATTGTCTCCGTCTTCCAGCTATTCTCATTCGCAATCGACGAGAGAAAGACCTGGTGGGACAACGCAGGGCATCCATCCAACGACAAAAGTCGATTTACTCTGGTACGTGGGAAATCTCTCTTACTGAGATTAATCTTTTGCTCTGGCAGCGAGTGGCCCCTGTTCGCAGGATCCCTTTCGCATTCTCTTGCTTCCTCTGGTCGGCCTTTAGGCACCTTGGAATTGATATGAAAGGTGCTAACCCTGTTGCTTTGCCTCTTTCACAGACGAGCACCATGGCGAACATCACCAATGATCAGACCGTCCACTTTTCACTTGAAGAGGTCCAATCGGACAGGATCCGAAACTCCAGGACTCTCCTTGGCCGCTTATTTACTGAGAACAGAATCTCTATCACTGAGCTTCGCGATTCGATTAATAAGCCGTGGCAAGGCCAAGGCCGTAGCAAAATGAGGTTGGTTGCTCATGGCCTTTTCGAGTTTGTGCTCTCAAATGAAGCTGCAAAACAATGGGTGCTCAAACAGACGCCGTGGGTTATATCAGACAAAATCCTTTACCTACAGACTTGGGTCCCTACTATCACGAAACGAACCTTCGACGAGCTTGTTATTGCTTCGTTACTAGTCCAACTGTGGGATGTCCAAGAGAACCGTTGGACCCAACGCTTTGGACGAACAGTTGCGAATGCCACTCTCGGACGAGTTCTGGAGGCGGGCGTGTACTCGTGCACTGATTCGGGGCGTCGCTTTATAAAGATTAAAGCCCTTATTGATTTCTCCAAACCTCTACGCTCCCAAGTCATGGCAATCAATGAAAAGACAAGCGATTTTTGGATTCGGTTTAAATACGAATACCTTCCAAGCTTCTGTTATAACTGTGGTCGGGTTGGGCATTCTCGCCAGGCCTGCTCATTTGACCCTCCCTCTAAAAAGGAGATATTTGGTCATCACATGTCGACAAAGAAGATGGGCAGGAAGGTATTTGCTGAGGAGGAAGGTACTCTAGCCTTTTATGGAAATCCAAAGTCAGTTTGGACTAATACCGCAACTCAGGGAAATAGGGATGCACCATCTCGGTTGCATCAACCCTCGGCCGAAGTGAACAGGCGGGAGATAGGGACGGCTAAGAGACCCGTGCTTGAGGATATTCCGCTGTGGATGGGATCCTCAACGCAGTCGTTCATGAAAACGGAATCTTAGAATCATCAAGGGAGGAGCCCACTCTGATTCCAGGTTACAAAAGCTCCAAAAATCCTCATGGGTAGGCAGAGTCGTAGAGGTAAACTGAAAAAAGAGGTTGACACTGCCCCTTTGGAGATTGGTCAACATTCAACAAAGCTGTCGCAATAGGATATTGAGACGTAGATGACACGCCGATGCCGCCTAATCTTGGAGGAGGAATCGAAAGATGATTTCAGCTTTCAAGACTTCTCCATCCCTGTTTAGGCGTGTCCTCAAGGTGCTGTTGTCCGAGACAATCGACATAATGACATGGTCAAGTCCGATGGAGCTGCTCCTATACCCCCGCGGCAACCAGTTGCTATTAAAAAGAAGATTGGAAACAAGAAATGAGATCATTCTCCTGGCACTAGGAAGTTGATGCCCACTGCTAAGCAGCAACGTAAGATGCGGCCTATAACTGCTAAGACTAGCAGCTCCAAAGGTATAGGGGCTGATCGATCTTGCGAAATGCCCAAGGGGTGTGACCGAGGGATGTCCCCAGAGATGGTGGATGTGCTTGGCGGGAATATGGCAGCAGAGACACCTTTCTTGGCCGATCCTCTGCATCCCCAATCAGCTAATGCAACACGTGAGCTGGTGGATTCGGAGGAATTTTTGTCGGGAAATGATGGGCATCCCTATGAGATTCGCTGACGGGACCCGAGTACGAAAAGTCAATCGCAGCGATTGGCTCAATCGTCCCGTGTGCGCCAGGTAGTGCGGGCGTTTGAGGTTGGCCTGACCATGAGTGACCCCGCTAATGAGCAAGGCCTACGTCAACCAATAACCTCAGACGTTCTGGATGATGGGAAGGAGGTGTTTGATGACAATGGCCTTAATGAATATGGTTCCACTTTATGTGATTCTGGGATAGAGCTCAAAAAGCGTCATATTGCTGATGTTGATGGTGACATTGCAGAATCCCCATCACCTAAAAAACAATCCGTTGAAGACAAGGATGGACTGGAAACGGTGGAGGTAGCCAGCCGTGAATGGCCCCATCCAGATAAATGAGGCTTCTTGCCTGGAATGTGAGAGGAATTGGACCATCCCTCATATTCCAAACTGCTGTCGGTTTAGTTCATTCCAGTAAACCGAATCTCGTATTTTTTTTGGAAACACGATCGAGCCAAAGAGTAGTTTCCCATCGTATGCAGGGTCTAGGTTTTGATAATTCTCATTATTTTTTTTGTCGATGCGATTGATGCATCTGGTGGTTTAGTTGTAGCTTGGTCCCCTGAGGTTGACGCCTTGGCGTTTTTCCATTCCAACTTTTGTATTTGTGCCCAAATCAATGAAGTGGATTTCTCTTATGTTGTGTTTTTTTGTTTACGTTAGTTGCAATGTTGCGATTCGCACCACCCAATTGGCCCAACTTTAGGAAATTTATTCCAATATCCATCTTCCCTATGTGGTCATAGGAGATTTTAACAATACTCTCCATGAGGTGAGAAAGATGGTGGTCTTTCGTGGAGTGCTGCTCAAGCTCTTAGCCTTTGAGATTTTGTCCATAATCTAGGGCTTCGTGACCCTGGTTTTCTTGGTGACCAATTCACTTGGACAAATAAGCGGATGGGAATGGCTTGCATTCGTGAGAGATTGCATAGAGCATTGTGCTCCCATAAATGGATTTATTTATTCCGAGAAACTCTGGTCAAGCATTTTACGGATCATGGATCTGACCATCGAGCCCTTCTCCTTTCTGACAAGCCTTATGCCCGTAATAGCCGACCCCTTTTCTTTTTTGATGCTCGATGGGTTGATACTCCGGAGGTCAAGGCTATGGTGCAGTATGTCTGGCAAGAGGATATTCAGGGTACTCCGATGTTTCGACTTTGGGAGCGCCTTAAGAAAATCCGTCATCTACTGTATGACCGGAGTCGAACTGGCACTACGAATTCTTTGCAAAATATCAGAACCCTCCAGCCCGAAATTGATCGGATTAAATTAGTCCATCCAATTTACTGGGAGGAGGTTCGGAGATTGGAAATTGAATTAAATAGATAGTGGGAAGCGGAGGAAGTTTACTGGCAACAAAAGTCAAGAGTACGATGGTTGAAAAAAGGGGATAAGAATACAGCTTACTTCTATACGGTCACCAGGGCTGGTCGAAAATGAAACTTTGTGGCTGGCCTTCCTAGTGATGAGGGTGAATGGGTTACTGCGAAAAATGGAAAAGCTACCATTGCCAATGATTTTTATCAGACATTATTTACCTTGGAGAATCAAGTCCCTGATATGTCTGCTCGAGTGGCCTCTCTCCCTATTTCTCACTGTGTTACTCCTGAAATGAATGTCGGCCTTACGGCGGAAGTTCTCCCTCAGGAAGTTTGAATAACGGTCTTTTCGATGGGATCTAAGCAGGCTTCAGGTTCTGATAACACCCAAGCAAGGTGTTGAGTCCACAAATCGAACTTGGCAGCCAAGCTCTGCAATGCGGCCAAGCAACCGAGTTGTTAACAACAATTTAAACAAAACGGGTGGAACTCTTGTGCAATCCTACACTTGTAGGAAGGCTCAAGGAGTATACGTCGAAGCTCGCCCACGATCAAGGTGGTTTTTGATTGATACAAGAGCAGATTCGAGCTTGGTTTTCTCGGCCAAACTCTCAACCAAAAACTAGCTACGCGACTTAGTTTTAGGGTTT